CATACAGCTCTCAACGGTATGGCCTATCATTAGGACTTAGGGAGATTGCCTCACAAGGCACCGTCGAAGGACATACAGCTCTCAACGACAGGGACAACCATTCGAAGGACATCCAGCTCACATCGAAGGTTACACAAATTCACAAACATGCATTGATCATACCAACCCAACAACAATTAAATTATTTACGACATAGCAAATTTTCAAATAAAACCCACCTGAATAATAGCAGAGAAATGCTCGAACAACATGGGTAGGTTGAGAGCTCGGCTCGTCAAAACATACATTTTATCAAGATAGTTTCATAAATACACTACCTTGACACTTAGAATTAATCACGAGAATTCATCCTCAGTCGAACATTATCGACTAAGTAGTTCGTAGGAGTTTTGTGGACTTTGGAACTCTCAGAGGATTGGAAATAATACACTGGACAATGGTCATGAGGTTAAAATTATGGTTTGGCTCGAAAAAAAGTCGAACGGCACAAAAACAAACGGGTGGTAACAGAAAAACTAAGTCGATGAAAATGGACAATTTTCCTACGCGCAGCCCCACTGAAATGAAGATGATTTTTGATGTAGAAAATATTTTAGCCTAATTTTTAAAGTTACCGGAAGCCAATAGATAGGTCTATATTTTTCATGAAGACCTCGAATGCAAACAAGCAAGTTTAAAGGGTAAAAACTGATCAACAATAAACCACAAACTGCAGTCCAATTTGACAGAAAACTGCTCGCGCACTTATCAAAAACTGGATGTAGCTTTTTATATAAAAATGGCATTTGAACGAATCTTACGCCATTTGAAACCTAAGAGATAAAGCTACATATCATATGAAGACATAAAAATTCTCAGGTAACCAGAAATAGCCCAAAAATTGAAAAAACGATAGACTCAAATTTCTGCGTTTAAAGCGAAAAACTGACTGCGCAAGGATCGAAATTTCGACATAATTCTCAATATAAAAATGATAAGTACTCGATTCTTTTTGCAAAAGAAAGATAACACCTGGAACTATAATTTTTGTGAAGACTCCAAAAAGAGATAACAAGTTTACAGAACTCAAAATCAGCAAAGGACAGAGGCTAAATGCAGTATCGAGAATTTAGAAAAACTGGACGCGCAACAATCGTAATTTGGCAATAACTCTCAGCACAAAATGAATATTCATACCATTTTTGTTGGAGATGAAACCTAACAAACTAAATTACAAATCACTAGAAGAGTTTGAAAATGTTTAACCGAGTTTCAAAGGTCAAAACAGCGACCAAACAGCAATCAGCAAGGTTTCAAAACGGGGTTTTCAAGCTCAATTCTTAAACAAATATCAAACGACACAAGGCAAGGGCTCGGGTAACTAAACGAGATTCCAATATCCAACCAAAATCAGCAACAAACACAACTAAAAGAAAAGGGCTCGACAACACAACGAGAGAGTTCCAATTCCACGTGAAATTCACACCAAGCAACACAACGAGTAGAATCGATTTATCCCAACCGAAATCTACATGCTTCTCTTTTCAATTAGTAAACCTCATGATCATGATATTAATCATAAACACACTTTAAATCCTTCAACATAACACATAAAATTTCAAGAAGAGTATATAGCCATATATCTTCTTCTAGGTTTCGCCTAATCGGGGTCAGAGAAGATCGGTAAAATGAAGCGGCCTCGGCAAAGCTCGATAAAACCCAGCTCCACGAACCGGGCTGCTGCATCTCTTTTCGGCTACTCGGGCTCCCGGCGAAGAACGAGGCCGCGCGTAGACGAACGGAGGGTGGTGATCGGAGAGGCATGCAATGCGGGGTGTTGCCGGCGGCTAGCGAGAAAATTAAAAGCCGAGAGGAGAAATGGTGGTTTGAGGGATGGCTGCTTCAGAGCGCACGAAGGAGAAGAATTTATTTTGCTCTGTTGAGTCGAGAAAACGTGATGGGAGGGAGAGGTAAGGAGTATTATTCACCAAGGAGACTTTGAAGACTATCCACAAGATTTAATTGCCCAATATAAGAGATACAATTTTGGCACATTTAAAGGGATTCTTGCGGTTTGTGCGGTTCTTTGGGGCTGAAGGAATTGGCCAAAGTCATTACTATAATTGCCTTAGGATATCAAATTCAAAATCCCTCCCAACTCAAGCATGAAATGGCCGGAATTTCCCTCACTCTTAGGAGCCGATTTATAGGCTCATAAAATTAAATGCTAACAATTGATCTCGAAATAATACTAAGGAGTCGAGAATAATTAAAATAGACGGAACTGAAAACTGCTAAAAATGATCGGCAATCGCTAAACCGAGAATTCTGATAAACTCGGTTTGATCGCACGATAATTAAAATAATACCGGTCTATATATAGGATTCACACAATAACATTTATTAATAATAAACATTTAAACACATAATAACAATTAGGCAATTTAAACATTTAGCAATAACAAATATAATAATAATAATAATAATAATAATAATAATAATAATAATAATAATAATAATAATAATAATAAATAATCTCAAATAATCCATAATCAAATGGGGCATTACAGTCTACCCACGTTACAAAGAATTCTGTCCTCGGAATTCGAAAAACTAAAACAACCAGAATACAAGAGGAATATCAACACAAGGTGTTCGGTACTCCCTTCAAATCTCGGTTTCCCTCTTCCAAGTCATCTCGCTCTCAACTCGACTACCACTACTGGACATTGACGAGTACCCCTCCCGGTCTTTCCCTAATAGACCATCAGTCCCAACAGGTCACCGGTACCTTCATACATGTAGGGTTCTGCCAATCACGCAGCTCGTCAATTCACACATACCTCGAGATCACGCACACATTCCCTCCAACACAATTCAGTATTAAATACTGAACATTAGACTTGATTTTAACTGAGAAATCAACAATTCACAATTAAGTGAGTTGATGATAAATACTGGCTGAAACGGGACACTTTTATAAGATAAAGTGTTTCATTTATTATACTTGACATTAAAAACATAGTTCTTAAGCATATTGGTCTTCATCTCCTGGTTGGTTGTTGAGTATAAAAATGATGGGCAAAGGATAACCGAGTTACCCGACTCGGGTCGATCTCGAAGGAAGGCTATTCGGGAAATGCTCATTGCTCGGAACATGATTCGACTCTTCATCTCTATCCCGGAATAAACCTGAAATTCATAGCAAAAGTACGGGAAAAGTACGCCAAAATATGAAACAAACAATAAAACATAAAAACAGACGATAAACGCCAAAATGGACCGGTCGACACTAAAATAAGCCAAGAATCAACTCGAAAGCACACACAATCATATAAAAATAAACACAAAAACACAATAAACAACTCCCCCACACTTAGCTTTTAGCTTGTCCTCAAGCAAACAAAATAACAAGTAGCTCGAAGATATATATCGAATGGTCCGAAATTGACGAACATGCAAAATGAAACTCTCATTATCATTCGGTTATCCCAAAATCAAAATTCAATCCGCGACACGGTTCCCACATAATGAATCAAACGAAACAAAAACCCGTCCCAAGTCAATCCACAAATGATCGCTCGAGTCAAACTTTCTCCTTCACATGTACGTGCAAAAACCATAAATGATCTACAAAACATGAAATAATAAGCACTAGATCAATAAGCCAACTCCCCGATTTTCTTCTTCTTTTTTTTTTATATTCTTTTTTTTTATATACATTTTTTTTTTGAATGAGCCACTTTTTCCAAATGAAAGCCGTTAGGACGATTATTACCTAGGTTTAACCTCGGGGTTTGTCCCCGAGTCGCCGAGGCCGGTTTCCCGTGCTCGTTAACCCGATCGTTCTAGAAGATTAACCGAGCCAAGAGGAGCTTAATCCTTTCGACTCCCACGAACTCATT